TAAAAACAATTAAATGAATTGTATTAAAATTTAAATTTTAAAAAACTAATCTTTTAAAAATAATTTTAATTTCGTAGATTTAAATAAAAACACAAATATATAAAATCAAATTCTATATAATTTTTCAATGATTAATATTTTTTTACTATTGATTATATTTTATCATTATCTTCTTTCCTTAAAAAACAAATATTCAAATAAAACTCACTAATGGAAGGATATAGTATCTGGTTGATTAATAATGATACATAAAATAAATAGTTAAAATATCATTATTTTCATGTATTCATTAAAGATATATTTTTAATATTTACTATGAATTTTTTAATCCCTCATCTTTGCTAAGGAACTATCCTCCAAAATTACTTCTCTAACTCATAATCTTCTTCAAGAAACAATCTAGAAGACATCTTAGAGTTAGAACAATTAAACATACTAACACGAAGTGCAGATGTGCCTAACAACTTCTCAAATTGTAAGTTTTGTATAAGGTTTTCATAAAATTACTTATAAAGATATTTATAAATAAAAAACAAGGGATATCAATCGTTGGTACACCCAACTCATTACTTCTATTTGATCTTATGGTTGTAAAATGAGAATCGTTGTCGTTCATACAAATTGCTCAAGTTTTTTCTGAGTCCTTTGACACAATATACAACAAATTGTAGTATCTTTTACATCTTCACGAGACTCTTTTTCGTTAGTTGTTCCTTGAGACAATGGACCAATATATTAGTATAAATGAAGAGATATTAAGACACGCAATTTGATTTCATAACTAGATATTTAGCTTGAATGTCCCTAACAATTTTTTGTCACTAGTTACTCGTTGAGTTACTAATTAGTAAATTATTAGTGTATAACTAAAAAGATTTCAAATTGAAAATATGATATTGTTTTTCATAAGCTTAAGTTAATGACATAAATGACACTACACACCTAATTGTTTAATAAAACATTAATAAAAGTGTAAGTTAATATAAATTCACATAAAAATAATTAAAATATTATAAATAAGTTAACAAATTCTATTATGTATTATTTACTAATTATAATTTATTATATTATTAAAATGTTATGATGGCCAGCAAGAAAGGTCGTCCACCTATTTGTTGCTCGATAAAACGATCCAAATGACCTGACCATGTTTTATTACTCTTTTCCTATCATTTCGTCTTTCCAGTATACAGATGGTACATGGGCTTACCCGCGACAATGAGATTTCTTCGTTTTTATTTCAAATCAAATAAAATAAAGGCTAAAGCACGAACCTAATCTTTCTTTATTGATTGGACAGGGATGCGCATATAATTCGATATTTGAGTGTTTTTCCCGATACTTCAACTATATATATATATTTGAGAAAACAAAACTCTAGGAAAATTTTCAAAATATCCACGGTACATGATTGACTCCTGTTTCAATTCATGTCTTTTTTTGTTACTTTCATTTGTACTTATTTGACAGTTTACTGCATTTAAAAAATTAAAACACAACTCTAATTTGATAGTAATGTTGGAATTTGACCTACAAGAGCTCGGAATATATGAGCATGATTGTAGGAGCTTGGCCCGGAGAAGGTCAACTTGGAGGAGCTCAGACGAAAGAAGTTTGGCTTGGAGGAACTCTGTTGGAGCTCGGCTTGGACAGCTCAACCTAAAGAAGGTCGGCCTATAGGACCTCAGCTTGGACAACTCAACTTGAAGGAAGTTAACTTGGAGATCTTGGCCTTTCTTGGAGGAGGTCAGCCTGAAGGACCTCGTATTAAAGGAGCTCAGCTTGTACAAGCTCAATTAGGAGGAAGTAGGCCTAAAGAACTCGACTTGAAGGAGGTCGACCTGTTAGAGTTAGGCTTGTGAGACGTCAACCTGAACAACTTGACTTGAAAGAGGTCAACCTGCACGAGGTCGGCCCATAAGAAGTTGAATTATAGTAGCTCGACCTATACGAACTTGCCTTCGAAGAAGTCGGGTTGGAGAGCTCGACTAGAGGAGGTCAGCCTATTAGAGCTAGGCCTGTAAGACCTCAACTTGAATAGCTTAACTTGGAGGAGGTCAGCCTGCAAGAGTTCAGCACAGAAGAGCTTGAATTGTAGGAGCTCGCCCTGTATGAACTTTCCTTGGAAGAAGTCAGGTTGGAGAGCTCGACCTGGAGAAGGTTGACATGTAAGAGGTCGACCAGTAGGAGCTCGACTTGGAGGAAGTATGCCTGTTGAGCTCGACCTAGAGAAGGTCGAAATGTTAAAGCTCAACCTGTAGGACCTCGACTTGGACAGCTTGGCCCAAAGGAAGTCAATCAGGAGAAGGTCGATCTGGAGGAGTTCCACTTATAGGACCTCGACCTGGACAACTCTTCTTGGAGAAAGTCAGCTTGAAAAGCTCACTAGAGGAGGTCGGCCAAGAGAACTCAGCCTGAAGGAGGTCAACTTGTTCCAAAACACCCATTGTACTTAATTGGCAATTGTTTCAAACCATGGCTATTATGGTTATCTGCATCTGTACTGATTTGACAACTACTTTTAAAAAATATGAACGCGACACTTCAATTTTGTGCTCTTAAATATTCACTTATTTAATAGGTTTCTAGTTTACTAATTTGACAATTCTCCTCTCATCTTAACTCAGCAACAATCCTCTCCCTATAGAGCCCGACAATAAACTGGATGAACTGACTGGTCAGACTAGCTTGATGGTTGTGCTGATGGGCTAATGGGATGGCGCTCTGGCGTGTGGTGAAGTGGGTCGAGCTTGCCAAAATGATTGGGATGGGTGGGGTGATCGGTTGATAGGATGACTTGGATGAATCAGCTAGGCGAACTGACGTGGATGCTAGGGACAGACTGGAGGGACTGCCTAGGCAGGCTGGCTTGATGGTATGTAGATGGGATGACATGATGGACAATCTTGCATAATGGCTGTGTAGGTCAGGTTGGTCATGTTGGCGAGATTGGCCGATAAGAACGGGCTTACAAGATGGTTTGGATGAATTGACTGACCGATCTTGCTTGGGTGTTCGAGACAAATTGGCTGGCCAGGATGGCCGTGTTGACTGGTTGGCAGGATGGTCAGGTTGCCTAAGCTGGCGGGGTTGTCTAGGTTGACCGAGATGAAGTGGATGGATGACCTAGATGAATGGCTAAGATGGACTAATTTGCCTTTCTTGGATAGGTGTCTGAGATAGACTGGATAGATTGGTGGACCAGGATAACTAGGTTAGCTTGATGGCCGTGCTGATGGGTGGCCAGGTTGGCTGAGTTGGTTGAGCTTGCCCGATTGACTAGGTGAATGATCAAGATAGACCAACTATGTGATCTGACCTGGGTGTTTGGGATAGACTGGATGGATTGGTTGGTAAGGATGGTTGGGTTGGGTTGATGGCCATGTTGATGGGCTGATGGGATGATCATTTTTGCTAGGTTAGGAAACTTTTGTCGGATGGATGAGCTAGCTGACCTGACCTAGGTGGCCTAGATAAACTAAATGGACTAGCTGACCGGATTGGTTTAACGGTCGTGTTGACTGGATGATGGATGACCGATCTAGAGTGAATAGTGGGATGACCGAGCTAGTTAGGTTGTAGGAGCTCGGTTTGTATGAGTTTAAACTGTATAAGCTTGGGTTGAAGGAAGTCGTCTTGGATATCTTAGCTTGAAGGAGTTGTCCTATAAAAGCTTGACCTTTAGGAGTTGACTTAGAAGAGTTCGACCTGAAGGTGGTTGGCTTGGAGGAAGTCAGCTTGGAAGAGGTCAGTTTGGAGGAGTTCAAACTTTTAAAGCTAGACTTGTAGGAAGTCAATCTGGAAGTGGTCGTCTTGAAGGAGCTTGGCCTGAAGAAGGTCAACCTATGAAAGCTCTACTAAGAGGAAGTCGGCTTGGAAAAGCTTGACATATAGAGTAAAATTTAGAAGAACTCGATTAAAAAGATCGATCTAGGAAGCTTGACTTATAAAAGGTCGACTTATAATCGAAGAAAAAAAATTTGATTTAAAGAGCTCAACCTAAATAAAGTTAATTGGAAGAAAATAAACATATGGTACAATACTTTAGTCATAACAATTACAACAATACAATTTAATTTCATTGTATCTCATAATATATTATTTTTATATACAAAATGAAAATAATTATTAAAAAAAAGGCGTCACATGGGTTCATTAGACTAGTTTATAAGAAAAGAAAGTAAGAGAAGCATGCGACTACTTTTAACCAGTATATAAATATTAGAGTCAGCGGAAGAAAAATGTTGGATTATGTAAAATTGCTCTAGTAAATGGAAGAACAAAAGTTATTGTAAGTGCTGAATCAAAATAAAAATTTGTAATATAATTTTATTTACAAAAAATAATAATTATTTTTCTAATGCTTGCATAATTTGAATATTAATATTAACTATTAATTGATTGTTTTTGAGATTAAAAATATATTAAAATATTATTTGCAATTTATTATGTAAAAAAACGATTAAATAGTGTTGTGTTAATTTTTAAAAGAATGATTTGTTGCAGACAACAAAATTATCCGACCGTGGTAACGGCTATTCAGTGACTTTCAACGCATAATTCTAAACCAAGAGATAAAAATCATAAAATAAAATTTCCAAAAACAAAATGCCGAATCCAATATGCAGACAACGAAGAATAAAATGGTAAGAAAAAGAAAGGAAAGAAAAATGTTTGTTTAGCTGTCTTCAACTAAACATAAAAGTAGGACCAGAATCAGTTTTTCAATAAATTGTTTTAAAAAATAATTTATTCATAGGATGAAATTAATTTAGATATATTAAATTATAATTAAAATTATTAATTTACATAGACATCACATTTTTTAAGAGGTTGAAGAGGAGAAGGTTGAAAATGTCAGAAGATGACCCGTGTGGTGGGTCCCGAACCCGACCCAGATAGAACGAGTCGTATACGCGGCAACAGAAGACGCCAAGGACTATACTATATCCTGATATGTTTTTCAAAAAGACCATAATGTCTTTTTCCATGTTCCAAACTTGGGAATATTAAAAAATGACAAGAGAGAAAGCTAAGAGCATGAGCAACGCCCCCTTCCCTGTATATTCGGCCAACGCCATTTAACACACGCACACACTCTCTCTCTCTTCCCCCTTTCTCGCTCAACCCTCTCTCTCTCTTTCTTACAAATTCTCCTTTTTCTCCGGCGAGTCTCAGATACCCTCATTTACTCGGGATCCGCCGATTCACTTCGCGATCCCGGGGTTTTTCTCAAACCCGTTCCGCTTCCCCTTTCTCTCCTTTTTTTTGTTTTGATTTTTCTTTTTATTTTGATTAAAAAAATAAAAAAAAGATCAATGAGCGATCATCTGGTGCTGTTAGTGGACCGCCTGGTGCGGCCCGTGCCAGTGGTGGAGCCGCTGGCCCAGCACCCGGTCCAGCCCGCTCCCGAGCCCTCAACCCCCATGGATGAAGCTGCGGCGGGACCCTCCGGCTCCGCTTCGGCGGCCGAGGACGACAGCTTCGACGAGAACGCGCTGCTGTTGCCCTTGGCGGAGTGTCGCATTTGCCAAGAGGAGGATAGCGTCAACAATTTAGAAACTCCTTGCTCCTGCAGCGGTAGTCTTAAGGTAAACACACATTCCGATTAATTGTTAAAAATTTAAAATTAATGTCTTTTTATGACTATGAAGCTATGATGATCCAATTGGGTCTTTTTCTTATTGAGAGATCGGAACAATTTTCTTGGTGGCAATATGTATTGTGAATCTGTTTGGCAAGTGATAGGTTCTGTGCACGCGAAGAATAATGGGGAACCATGTTGTTTGTGTGGCATCATTGGTTTCTTTTATGTTATATATGCTTTCGTTTCTGTCTTTCTCGCGATGATTTGATAACGGCTGGGATTTTTTCCCGCAGTATGCTCATAGAAAGTGCGTCCAGCATTGGTGTAATGAGAAAGGTGATATAATTTGTGAGATTTGTCACAAGGTATGTTTCTTTCACATGTGATTTTCTCATACAGGGGAATTGTTTTGTTTTTTTTTTCTCTTATAATGGATGTTATATAATGATAATGGTCATGCGTTATTTTAACTTGTAATCTTTAATGAAGAATAGTTTTGTGCTATGCTCTCTCTGGATTTAACCAAATGCTCTGTGTGTGTATGTTTTGTTCGTGTAATTCTCAGTCGTATGAACCTGGTTATACTGCCCCGCCACCTCGTCTTCAACCTGAAGAAACTACCATTGATATAGGGTAAGATTAAAGTTTCTCTGCTTTAGAAGTCTCTAAGTTTGTTAGTTTTTTTGTTTGCATAAACGAACCATTTGTGTTCCCACATCTTTTCTCACTTGTTAATTATGATGATTTTTGCAGTGGAGGCTGGACAATCTCTGGCATGCCATTGGATTTGCGTGACCCCCGACTCTTGGCAATTGCCGAGGCAGAACGTCAATTCTTGGAAGCTGAATATGATGGATATGCTGCTTCAAACGCCAATGGAGCTGCATTTTGTCGTTCAGTTGCTCTAATTGTAAGATACATAAATCTTGACATCCTTTTTGACGAATTATTTGTGAAGTCATATGTATGTCCACCCGAAATACATCTTCTGGAGGCGAAGTTGTTTGACACTTGACGGTAGATAATTGAGCCGAAGAAGTATCAACCTTTAGGCATATTTTTTTGGAATTTTAAGGAAATCCATTGTACTTGCTATGATCTTTGGGTTCTTGATGCACATTGACTATGCAAGTGGTATAAAATTTTGGTATAATCTGTTTGGAAGATTAAGGAAATCAGTTACAATTGCTTTGCTATGATCTTTAGGGTTTATATTCATTATTGACCATGCCAATAGTATGCTAATACTTGGACATAAGTTTAATCCAATCCATTCTATTTGATTCAGTTAATGGCCCTTTTACTTTTGAGGCATGCACTTTCTGTCACGGATGCTGATGCTGAAGATGATCCATCTACTTTTTTCTCTGTGAGTAACTTTAGTTCATTTTGGATTTAGTGGTTCATAAAGTAATTTGTATTGCATTAAATATGTTGCCCACGCTAATTTATTAAATGACCATTTTCTGCAGCTTTTCTTGCTTCGAGCTGCTGGTTTTCTTTTACCTTGCTATATCATGGCCTGGGCAATCAGTATTTTGCAACGCAGGCGACAAAGACAAGTAAGTTTCAGTCCCAGTTCTGACTCATGCTTTTGGGCTTCTATTTTGCTCATATCTCTTGGTCATGTTGCTGAGAAACTGTATCGCATGCAGATGAATTAGTTGTTATATTCTAGAAAAGTCTCATTGTTTTCATGTTATGGTGAAACAGGAGGCTGCAGCACTAGCAGCAACCCAAGTTGCTTTTGTTCTACAATCTGAACAACGTAGGGGTCTGCAGTTTGCCATAGCACAAGCACCAACAATGAACACACACCAGTAACAAGTGTAGTTTGAAGGAAGTATTTGTATCACTGGCGTGTGTACCATGGAAAGAAGGCTTTGTTGTTATGCCATGCATTTTTACTCATGATTTTCTCAGCTCTAATGTATCTATTCACTCTGACTTGAACAACTTTGAGATGGTGCTTAATATTTTTGGAAGCATAACATTCGAAAAGAACATCTCAATTTGTTATATATTGGAGTTCAAGTCTTTGAAAGTTGTAGCGATGTTACTACTAGTAAATTTTCCGTCTCACTCCATATCGATAATGTTGTGCCCGTGCTGTTTTTTTGCCTTGTGTTTCTGCTTCGTGATTATCGTAACTGAAGCAATCAAAGTAAACGATGGAAGCAGACCGAATTTTGCATTAGATCACTGTAATTTCTCATTGTTCATTGGTACTTGTTGGCTTTTTGGCATTGTTGCATTGTTAGCTATTTCCATCGTTAGAAGTCCTTTCTATTGAATGCAACACAGCATGCATTAGTGCAGACTACATGTATCCTACAGAGGAAGCCTCTCGAAACCAACCAGCAAATTCATCATTAATGAGTGACTTTTTAGTTATAATCAAACATTTTCTTAGCTTTATCTTGAAGGGTAATAAAAATGAGTGTCAATTTACCTTCAGAATAATCATTATTCTTCGTAATTTCAATCTAATCGTAATTTGAAAGAGTACACTAATCATTTTAGGGTAATCGCTTCCTGCAAAATGAAATAATGTATGAAGGTAGTGGACGAGTAAACGCTTATTGTATTGAAATTAACTAGCTCAATTAATTATTTAAATCTAGGTTGCGTCAAAATCAGTCTAAAAGTACTTTTTTTTTTTATTTGAAAGTCAAAAACTGTAAATTTAGAACCTGTCCAAACATGTCTTAACTACTGTTTATCTCTTTTCTCTTTTTCATCTTTTTTTAATATAAGGCTTAATATTACTTATGGTCCCAATTTTTGTCAGTTTTGTTCAAAATGGTCTTAATTTTTTTTTATGTTCAATAATTTGTGTTCAATTTAGTCCTTTTTGCAAAACGACGTTTAAATTCTTAACGGCCAAATGTCCAGCTGTGCAATCAGTGACACATCATCCTTAACACGTCATCATCATCTCCTACCTCTAGAAACCCTAATTCCCCCTACATAGAAACCCTAGCCACCCACCCTAACCACCGTCGTCACGCTCACGGTCATCCACCATCTTCGCACCTCCATCATCAGACATTTCGAAACCCTAACCAGATGGTCGCGTCGCTGTTCCAAACGTTCCGACACAAGCATCGCGAAACCGAATCACGAGTTCCTCGCGCTTTTGAGCAACATCGTGAAGCTTCTTCATTCTCCACCAGCCACCACCAACCACCACCAACCTAAAACATAGAAGATCAAAACCCACAGAACCAAAAATCTCTTTCAAACCATAAGCGCGATTCGCACCGCAACGCTAAAGAGCCATCAACATCATCATCAACCTCTCGCGAGCAAAATCCAAATCACTAGTGCAAACCCAAATCGCACCAGCGCCTCTCCACAAGCTTCTCCACCGTGCCTTCTTCATTCACATGTAGGATAAAAATGTAGAAGCAAACCAACTATCACAAAGTTCACCATATCCGTCGTGAAGGAGAAACCCTATTCTCGCGTGACGGCAATCAACCAAGGTTTTTTCCAATCTGCCGATTCAAATCTGAAACCCTAATTTTTGGGTGAAGAAAGGGGTTGTCACATGTCAAGCCCTCATTGGCGTGACCATCCTTAGTCAACTCTGATTCTAGCCACGTTAGCCACTGCCATGTAAAAAGGACTAAATTAAACACAAATTACGATACTACATTAAACATAAAAAAAATTAGGTTTAATAGGTTCAGAGGTCCCTATATTTGCGGGTTCGTTTCACTTGGGTCCTCCAATTTTAGAAGTGATCAATTAGGTCCCTAATTTAACAAAATTGAGTCAATAATACCCTTTCCGTTAAATGCAAGGGAATCTGAATGCAAATTAAACAGGTGGCATGCTAAGGCATCATTTTATTTGCAGGTGGCAGAGTTTGAGCTTAATACGTGGCAATTTCTGCAATATTTAATTTGCATTCAGATTCCCTTGCATTTAACGGAAAGGGTATTATTAACTCAATTTTGTTAAATTAGGGACCTAATTGATCACTTATAAAATTGGAGGACCCAAGTGAAACGAACCCGCAAATATAGGGACCTCCGAACCTATTAAACCAAAAAATTATGACCATTTCAAATAAAGCTAACAAAAATTGGGACCATAAGTACTATTAAGCCTTAATATAACTTTCTTTAACTATTTTGTTATGGTCTTTCTTTTTTTATTGGCCGTGTTATCAAGTTGGGTTTATATAATTAAATTACGAGTATTCAGTAACACGTGGTTGTTCATCCTATTCTTTCATAGTGTCTATCAAGTTCGGTTTTCCTCTCATGGAATTAGAATCATTAAATAGGTCTTCACTAAATGAACACAGCCACTATCCCTGTCCTTTTGTCACAAATCCATTTGATCTGTTTAAGAATGCAAATGAAGAAAGTAGTTTTTCCCGGTGTTTATCTCATTGGCATAAGAAAAAGTATAAGATGAAAATGAAAGTCCCCTTTGTATCTTCCTTTACCAAACAACAAAAGCATAACATAGAATGACAGTAGAAAATTAGATAGAAGTCACCCATCCAAGAATACAAGAACTGCAATTAACTTAATAACAAAACATAAATGTTAATTATGTCACAATGTAAGAAAAGTTAACGAGATTGAGGTTTCCACGTATCAAACACACAAACATGACCACCACCACTTTAGTATAAAAAAATTGAGTTATATAGTCAAAGAATCACATCATCTCAAAAGAAAATATCTAAAGCATGTGGTGTTAACAACCTATCCGGAGAAAATGAAATGAAAAAGAAATAAAAGAAAAAAAAAGTCGTATATTTTCTACTTTTTATAATACTGGAATGTTAGCAACAATAACATGCCAATAAAATTACTATTTATTTATCTTTAATATCTAATCTATAAATATTAATAAGGGAAATTGATTTTTATGATATTTTTACTCACTTTTATCCTTTTTACCTTTTTTTATCTGTATCTTATAAAATTTTTAGATTATATAATCTATAAGAAATTATTCATAATAATCCTTTTACATATTTCACTGCAGTTTTATTTTTATGTTTGGATAATTATTTTTTATTATAATAAAGTTATATTTATTATTTAGTTATATTATTTTCTATCATATAAAAGTGTGGACATATTGTTTATAATATCAAAACCACTAAAATAAACTATTACATAGATGATAACTTACCATGAACTACAAATTTTCGATGAAGAATATTTTATACATGGAGAACAAAAATCTATCTATGGTGTTGCTTCACTCTCAACCTCCCGCTGGAAAGACTAAAGAGACATTCTCCCTAATCTCACATCATTTAATATAATCATCGCAAAAGAGAAACATACACAAATACAAACAACACAAAAAACAAGGGTAAGCTAAGGTACCAAAAAATATACATGCCTTTTTAAAACAATAACAAACATATTCATAATATCCATATTAAAATAAAGCAACACATAAATGAATCCCCTCAACTCTGAAACTTTACTATCTGGATAGATGCATTGATGTCAGACACCTGTGTATGGTGGAGCAACCTGCTCAGAAATAATAATAACCACATCCTCAACCACCACTTATAATGTCATACACCAAGGTTAATCCGTCAAACATCTATGGTCAAAACCAGTGACCATAGACTAGGACCTCCTACTACTCTCCACGACATAATCACCCATCGCTACATGAGATAGGGTTATTGAGAGTGTTAGGATCATTTCCCAATCCAGGAGTCTCTACTTCAATACATTACACAACATAACCAACTTGGTATATTCCTCCTTGGAATTCCTTTCTCACATCATACTTAAATCCACACTTTTCATTTCATTTAAATATCGTCATACACGTTTCCCATATGTTTGCACCATACTTAATCATATACATAGCCTCATTGCATACCAAATACATGATTCCACTGAACATCCACAAAAAGAACCAGAAAACAACCCAACTAAGTTATCAAAGTACCAAATACAACTCAAAAGCCAATAAGAATAAGAAAACAAAGAACACAAACCGATATTGCACCCCTGAAACTGAACCCTAACACCACTGGAATGGTGGCACTCAACCCTATACCAGAAAATCAACAACTCTAAAACTAGCTTTGTTTGACCCCAATATCTATCCAAATGATCAAAATAGCATCCTAGACAATGAGAATGATTCAAATACATGTCTATAACTTAAATTAGATACCAATTTGATGATTTGGTAAGGAATCAAGGTTTAACCAATCAATCTACAACTAAAACTCATATATCATATTCTAAACATTTTACTTCAGATTTAGTTGAACAAAAAGGCTATACAAGTCTTAAATGCCCTAGACACCAACCCTAAACTTCAGGTTTCTCTCTAAAACCACTACTTTAGAAATTCACCACGGACAAAAACATGCAAATACCCACTCACGAGTCCACTATTGAACTCCACACTAGATTTTACTAATTTTACCACTTGAACAAGTCTTAAATGACTTAAAAACAGTCCCAAAACCTTTATTTTTTTTCTTCATCCAACCAGTTTTACAGGAAACACATATTAAAACCTCTCTTTTTATTAAAAATAAAGACTTGCAACTAAAACCAAACTATCTCTTCTTAACATAACAACTCACTTGATACTACTAACAATTCAACAACAACATTCATAACCAGAATCAGTTCTAAACAAAATCAACAAAACATATTAACATCATTCAACGAATAACCACCATTTCAAAAACACTCCAAACTCAATAACAACCATTTTAACACAATTATCAACATGCATCAGTTTTATAAACTACCAAATATTCTTTCATATTAAATAACTAAAATATAAATTAACTTTAGCTTCCCTTGTAACACCCCGATTTCTGAGATGTCACAGGTTATTAAAAATCGATAAAATTCAAAATTTATCATAGTGCAGAAACGTACTTAAAGAAAACCTTATCCAATTACATTATTTCGAGTACTAAAACAACAAAGGAAATACTCCAATTATTAACTTGTAAAACAAAATAGCTTTAAATGAATCCAAGGTTATTCCCCATCCTCTCTCGAGTCAATCACGCTTTTGGAACATTTGTGACATTATTTGCTCACGTATACCACATTAT